CAGCCGGGCCGTTGGCCCCTGGGTCGCGAAGCCGCGCGGCTTCCGTCGTCGCTGGCGTTTGGCTTCACGGAGGGCTGTCCTCCGGCCTTCCCCGCGGCAAGGAGGCTTCTGGAAGGCTGGTGCCGGGGCTCCGTGCTGCCGTTCGGACTGCTTCCAACGGTGACCCCACCCCCGGCTCGGGCGAAGGGCTCTTCTCTGCGCGAGTGGAGTCCGTTTCACCTCGCGACTCTCGGCAGGCGGCTCCTGACTCGGGGCCGGGCCTTCTGCGTCCCCGTGCCGCCTGGCTCAGAAATCGCTGGGATGCCCCGAAGGCCGAGGCTGAGCCTGCCGCGGTGGTTAGTCTAGCACCTGCGATGGCCGAGCTTCCTTCTTAACTTCGGCGGCGGAGCCCCTCCCCCGGTGTTACTAAAGCCCTCTCAGGCATTCTCAGAGTTGCGTGGACGTTCAGTATTAAAAGATTGCCAAAACTCGAAGGAAGGAGTGAAACAAGACAGAAAGCTGGTGTGGCTGTATCTAGCCACAGGGCGAGATAACTAGCTCTGGATGGAGCTGTAGAGAGGACCGAGCCAGGAACGGGGTGCAGGAGCTGCCAACGCCTATCAGGACGTGCCACCAGGCACCGTTCTGGATTCCGAGTGCTTGTCGAATTCGCAGTGGTTTGAGTTTAGCTGAAGCCTCGTGTGTAAATGCAGCCGTGGCTCAACGCCTGTACTCTCACACTTGCGGAGGCTGAGGTGGGAGGGTTGCTGGAGGCCAGGAGTTCAAGACCAGCCTGGGCAGCACGGCGAACCGCTGTCTCTACAAAAAAATGGTAAGATCAGCTGCGTGTAGTGGTGCGTGCCCGTAGTCCCTTCAGGAGGCTGAGGCAGCAGGGAGCTATGATCACGCCACTGCACTCCCAGGCAGCCTGGACAGAGCGGGACCCTGGCTCAAAAAGATGAAATACGTGAAACATGAATACGTTAGTACCTGATGGTTTTCAAAAGACATCTTCCAAACATTTTTGTAGCTCTGCGTGATTGAGCCTTGCATCAGTCATGTTGGAACTAAAAGCCATGGTTGTCCATTAACAGTAACATTATAAGGAATGGGATTTTAGTTATTGACATATTTGCAGACTTCAGGATACTGCTAAAGATTAGATATTTAGGTAAAGTTACATTCACCACGTAAAACTAAATTTATGTTTTCTGTGGAGTGTGGCTTTATAGTAATTTAGAAAACCAGCGTATTTTACATGTTCTGCATTTTGTCTTGACAAATTGCTAAAATACACAGTTCAGTAGTTTCTTTCATGTACACCCAGCTGCCCCACTTTTCCAGAACCAGGAAACTTGGTGCAATGTGTAGTTTTGCTTGGTGAAATAGTATGTATCAAGTCAGCCACTTAGGGAAGAAAGTCTGAGGGGCCTAAGGGGAGTTGACTTACAATTAAGTCACCATTTAAAAGTCATTACTTCCTCTGTGCAAGTGACTGCTTACAAGACTACTGGGCTATCTTAACGTCCATTTCTTTAGAGCATTGGTTGTCTAGTATGTTACAGAGCACTGTGTGCATAAGGGTGATTAGAAATGTTCAGTAGCAGTAACGTAGGATGACCTGTTATCTCAGACTTGTTTTGTGGTGAGCTATCCCCCTTCCTTGCACTTGTGGTTTGGAATTATTACTAAAGAGAAGCTAAGGAGTTTGTGGTCAACTATGCATGTCCCAAGTTCAAATTCTGAAAATAATTTCATCTTCTTAACTGAAATGACATGGTATAATCCAAAGTGAAGAAATGAAGGCAGGTTAATTGTTGGCCTACTCTGGATGTATTTGTTGGTGTGTGTGACCGTGGCAAGGCAGTGTGTTAACTGCTTTTGTATACTTGATCTCATTTGATCCTAGGCATGAGTTTTAACTACATTGTAGTTTCACCAAATAGTCGCTTAGATTAGAAAGAGCTGTTACCAGTTTTGCATAAGCCCCAAGCTTACCTGAATTCCTTAGAAAAATAATTGTACATACTGGGTTTTCTCCAGGGTCTAGTTACTTGTTAGCACATCTTGGTTAAAAAAAAAAAAAAAGTTTTATGGGAGTCAGCATGTTTGTGTAAATCAAATATTTAGTTTAGTTGTTTTTTTTTGAGTTGCAGTCTCACTTTGTTATCCAGGCTGCAGTGCAGTGGCACACTCATGGCTAGTGCAGCCTCAACCTGCCAGGCTCAGAAGATCCTTCCTCCTCAGCCTTCCAAGAAGCTGTGTCTACAGGTGCACACCACATGCCCGGCTAATTTTTTGACTTATTGTAGAGACACTAGGTCTTGCCAAGTTGCTTAGACTGGTCTCAGATCCCTGGGCTCAGGCGGCTCTCTCGCCTCTGCCTCCCAAAGTGTTGGGATTACAGGCATCAGCCACCGTGCCCCACCTCAAATATTTAGAATGTATGGATTTCTTCTGCTTGTGTGTGTCTTTTAATTTCTCGCCACTCTGGGTATCTTTTGAGTGGAATAGCCACAAGGTAATCTAATAGTTTCTTAGCAGAGTAGTTTTAGAACTTGTAGGAGTTGTTAGCGTTCTGCTTTTTTTTTTTTTTTTGTAGAAAATGGATATAGTTCTCATACACACAGTTCAGTAGTTTCTTATATGTTCACCAGGTTGTACAACAATCACTACTCTAATTTCAGAACATTTTCATCACCCTAAAGGAAACTCGGTACCTGTTTGCAGTACTGTCCATTACCCCTCCTCTCAGTCCCTGGTAATCACTGATCTGCTTTCTCTATGGATTTTCCTATTCTGGATATTTTATGCAAATAGAATCATACAGTAGGTGACCTTTTGTGTCTGAGTTAGCACCATGTTTTCAAGTTTCATCCGCAAGTACTTCATTTTTATGGCTGAATGATATTCCATTGTATAATCTGGCAGGGCCTTATTTTTGCAGATGAGAAGATTAAACCCTCGTTAATCTAAACATCAACATTTAATCACAGTAGTTCAACTATGTTTTTTGTGTTTTTTTTGAGTTGGAGTCTCACTCTGTCACCAGACTGGAGTGCAGTGGCTGCTCCTGGCCACCGCAACCTCGACCTGCTGGGCTCTGGCGATCCTTCTGCCTCAGCCTTCCGAGTAGCTGGAACTACAGGTGCGCGCTACCACGCCTGGCTAATTTTTTGATTTATTGTAGAGATGAGGTCCCGCCAAGTTGCCCAGGCGGGTCTTGAACCCGCGGGCTCAGGCTATCCACTCACCTCAGCCTCCCAAAGTGCGGGATTACAGGCTGAGCCACCAAGCCCAGCAACTATGGTTTTTTTATTGGTGCTTGTGGTGTTTTTATTTTTATTTTGTTTGTAGAGATAGGGTCTTACTGTGTTGTCCAGATTGGTCTCGAACTCTTGACCTCAAGTGATCCTCCCCGGGCCTTGGCTTCCCAAAGTACTGGGATTACTACAGGCTCTAGCCTCTGTACCTGGCCTGTTTTGAAAATTCTTTGTCAGCTACTTAATTAACCAGTGTTTTTTCCTTACATACAATTAATGAACATTTCAATGTTGACAGATTTAAGACATAGCACTATACAGTTTTTTCCTGGCTATTCATTGCTATTACATAGGAGTAACTTTATTTTACTATTTAACTATTTATTTTTTTGAGTTGGAGTTTCACTCTGTCTCCCAGGCTGGAGTGCACTGGCATGCTCACAGCCACCACAGCCTCAACCTGCTGGGCTCAGGCTATCCTTCCGCCTCAGCCTTCCAAGTAACTGGAACTACAGGTGCGCATAACCTCACCCGACGAATTTTTTGATTTATTGTACAGACAAGGTCTCACCAAGTAGGCCAGGCTGGTCTCAGGCAATCCTCTCACTTCAGCCTCCCAAAGTGCTGGGATTACAGGCTTGAGTCACTGCACCTGGCCAGGTAACTTTATTTGACAGGACAAATTATAAACTAAACCACTTAACTAAGCCATTGGGTTGAGTAATAAAAGCTAAAAATCTAAGAAATTTAGGGAAAACTTGGGGTGGCTTTAAAATCTTGAGGTGTGACCTTCTTTAAGGCTGTTGATATTTTAATTAATTCAGAGCAATTAAGTAATTTAAGCTTGAATCACTACGTGGATGCCTGGAACCCTGAGAACCAACCAACTTGTCCATACCCCCCTTTTCCATTTCCTTATGTGTGTTTTTTGAGGCGAGGCCAGCACGGGCATACTGCCTAACCACAGCTTATGAGGATGGCACAGGTGCAGGGACAGTTAGGACTGTGTCCCCCCTCTTCCTGTCCCCTGCCAGCAGGTGCTGCTTGGGTCTGGGGGACCCTGATTCTTTCCAGAGTGTTGGAGCTGCCTCTTTCAGGCCTGGAATTCAGTGGTCCCTCCCATGATGTGCGCGGGTCAACGTCATGCCCTGTGCAGGGAACCCTTGTTTTTTGGACCTTGATGGGATGGAGGTGGTCAGACCCCACCTGAGCTGTGACCTTTTGAGAGTAGACAAATCAATTGCTGAGGGAGGAACAGAATTATTATTGCCTTCTGTTAGACTGAATACAGAGAACTTTGTGCTGAATTAAGCAAAACAGCTAAAACTGGAAAAACCATTGATATTGAAATCAGTAAGTTGAAACTTGAGATGTATTAGATTTAGTCTCAGTTTTTAAAAATTTTATTTATTATTCATTATGATGATTATTTTGAGTGGGAGTCTCACTCTGTTGCCTAGGCTGGCCTTGAACCCCGGGCTAAGGCAGGCCTCTCGCCTCTGTTTCCCAGTGTTGGGATTACAGGCGTGAGCCACAGCACCTGGCCTCGGTTTTATATGTTCAGAGAATTCAGATTTACCAGAAATCGTTAAGTGTGGCCATTTGTCATGCTTCTGGGGGTTTTCACCTCCTTTTTTATCATGTTGTTTATCACCAAGTAGAGATGTCATAAACAAATTTGCTTGGAGCCAAGCCAAAAAAGCCCTCCAAAGTAATCATTTCAACCTCATGACCTACATAGGGCAGCCTAAGTCATAGATCCCGAGTCCTGATCTGGTAGCTCTGGAAGCTTTAGCTTGCTGATAAAGCCTCTTGTGCTGTCAGACTGTCCACTCCAGGTTATTAACCTTTCTTTTCCCCTCCCACTAGCAACAGCTGACTCCCCCTAGTGGGAGAAGAAAATCCATATCGCGAGAAGGTCAGGGCCTGTCCTGTTATGTCCTGCTAGCAGTTGAGGCTTTTCTTTTTCCCCCCCGGGTCCTGGCAGCTCTCAGCTTAGGCCTCTCGAAGAGGATAACTTTTTTAAAACACCAATGCCAGACTCCTAGGTGAATATTTACAAAAGTCATTTCTGTTTGTTTTCCTTGTTTTGT